CTGGTTTTTAGCACTCATCTGGGGCGTTGCTTCGCTGCAATAGCCCATTCTTTCCCCCCGTGTGTACTCCCTAAAACCCTAAACCCTAAAACCCTCTTCCTTTCTTTCTTTATCTATTTATGTCTGTCTGTCTGTCTGTCTGTCTGTCTGTGTCTGTCTCTGTGTCTGTCTGTCCGTGTCTCTCTGTCTGTGTGTCTGCCTCTGTGTCTGTCTGTCTGTGTCTGTCTCTGTCTGTCTGTGTGTCTGTCTCTGTGACTCTCCTTTTGTCTGTCTCTGTTTGTCTGTCCGTGTGTCTGTCTGTGTGTGTGTCTGTGTGTGTGTGTGTGTGTGTGTGTGTGTGTGTGTGTGTGTGACTGAAATGGGTGGGTGGTTGTGTCTGTCTTTGTATGTGTTTGAGTGTGTTACAAGTTCCATACAAGTGCGGGGTTGTACATAAAAGCTGGCGTGCCCATGGACGGTAAATCGTTTGATGTGCAGTTACATGGTGGAAGTGCAGTTACCATCATTGTCCTCCCTCGTCCACTTGAGCATATGAAGCGCCATAGAGCAACGTGCCGGGTCTCCCAGACTTCCGAGGGGAACCTGGCTAGTGCCAGGGGTGGGGCCTCAGTCAAATCGTGCGCACGTTGTACCCTTGAAACGCGAGGTCATGTTCATACTTAGCCCGTGTACTAGTGTACACCGGGCATTTCACAAAGGCATGCATTTCGCCTTGAACCGCCCTGCAGTCACAAAGCCTGCAGGTGCGTGCTGTGTGCTCACAGCTGTTAGGTTGGTCATGACGTTGATCAATCTCTAACTCCCAACAGCCTGTTACCCGGAAGCATTGAGATGATAGTCTTCGCCGAGGCAGGAAGGAGACCAACCCAGCGGCAAGCACTAGTCTGCATAGACGCGTATACGAAAACAATCTATATGGCGGCAGCGGAGTCTTGAACTCTGAACACCTAGTATTCGTGATACTTCAGTGTCTGGCCAGTGCACCCCGCCCGGGTAGCTTATATCTCGGCCTACCTGCCGGAGATTCCCTACCATGGTCCTGCCATACTAGGATTATGTCAGTGGGGCCCCGGGGCCCCAGCCCATTAGGTTTGCTACGAACAACCGTCATGTTCGAGACATGTGACGAAACTCGTAACATGTACGAAACTCGGGTCGAATCGTTCACGAAATAACAGTTATTGTCAAGAGTAATCGTTGAAATATTCTAAGGGTTTTTGCTGCGAACAACCACCATGTTCGAGACATGTGACGAAACTCATAACATGTACAAAACTCGAGTCGAATCGTTAACGAATTAACAGTTATTGTCAAGAGTAATCGTTGAAATATTCTAAGGGTTTTCGCTGCGAACAACCACCATGTTCGAGACATGTGACGAAACTCATAACATGTACAAAACTAGAGTCGAATCGTTAACGAATTAACAGTTATTGTCAAGAGTAATCGTTGAATATTCTAAGTGAAATGTAGCTTGCTACAATGTGTGTGTACATGTATGTGTGAGACTGTGTG